ACCAGAGGCAAATGCGAGTATCTTTGACGCAAAGTTCAATATATGACCAAAGTCTTGATGCAAACTCAGAATGATAAGTGCAAGAGCAATTTAATTCTCTCCAAAGGTCTTGACTTGGTTGAAGAAGAAGAGCAGATCACACATCAAACTTTCAAGTTTGATCCTAATGATCTGGGGAATGAGAAAGAATACACATCTGTCAAGGCCGAGATTCAAAAGAGCCATCTGGCCATCATTCACTTATGTATAAGATTGAAGTGCACTGTATTTGAGACCTTTCATCATCATGTTGCTCTCCTCTCACTTTTTGAAAGTGCTGTATTGCAGTCTGTATTCAATTCATCTGTTCAGCTGAGGGAAAACATTGCAAGTGACAGGGAACAGTAGACTTGCCTCGCAGATTCACTTCTGAATGCTTTCTTTAAAGATGGATCTAACTGCTGTTGGTCAAACAGTTGCTACAACAGAATCCAAATCTGTTTCAAATCTGTGTGTGTGGGTTCAAAACCTGCTAAAGATGAAATTGCCAGTGATTATCAGAGTCAAAATCTGTTTCTCTTGGACTGTGCAGGTTTGAAACCTGCCAATGATAAAATTCATGTTTTATGAAACTGCACCTTGAGACATGCTCATCAGAGTTGTGTTTAGCCAAGGGGTTGTCCTGACAGAATCAAAATCTGTTTCTATTGAAATACAACAGGTTTGAAACCTGTTGAATGTTGCATTGTTTCCAGTAAGAACATGTCTTGAATATATGATCATAGACAGTATCTCAGACATTGATCTTCATTGGTCTTTAGTTGAGTTGTCACCAGAGTTAAAATCTGTGTCTCTTGGACTTTGCAGGTTTCAAACCTGCCAATGGTAATATTTTTATTCTATGCAATTACACCCTGACATTTCCTGATGTAAGTACAAAATATGAAAGCTCAGCATCCAGTGAATTTACTGCACTCATGATACAGTGGTCTCCATCCATGTCATTGCTCACTGTTACAAGTAACATTGGTCACATGGCTCCCCTATCATTTTCCCTTCATCCTCGCCCTCACCATCTACTGGCTCGTCCTCTTTTACTGACTATCTGTTGACTGGATCCTCACATCGCCCGCCTCTATGCATGTGCACGCACGTTCCTCTTATGACTCGACCACCAATGTGGTCCCGCACCTCTGACTTGGTCTGACTCATTGTAAGACCTATGGTTTTTGTGGCCTTGTATAGGCCTTTTCTGTGTTGTCCCTCTGGTTCTAATGCAGTACACACTACCCTTGGTATAGCGCGCATGTCTTCCATCGTCGGCCGATGGCCGTGGCTCTTGTGCACACTTCGGCTAGTGTCAGCTTCTCTTTGGATCTGTCGCACGTCCTCCATCCATCCTATCCATATCCTCTGCTGGTTCATTGGTGCGTACATCACTTGTTTCCCACTAAAATAACAACAATTCCCAAGCTATTCTGTTTATAATTTCATTAAATGTGTCATGGACCCTACTTACATACGTCTCGCTACCTACTTGGTTCCGAATATTGCTTATGTGCACATACATATATCGGATACTTAGAATTTTCATGTAACTTCTCTCTCCCATCAGAATTCATCACCTGTTTACATGCAAAAACTACAAAGCCTTGACTAAAAATGTAAAACCTTCGGTACTCTCTCAGTGCACGCACTCCTATCGGCAGCATTTGTCTTGTGTTCACGTGTTTATAATATCCAACGCTCTTGGCGCTTGTCATCGCTTGGCTCCGCCCTTGTGTCTTCAGTACCTCTTCGCAACTCACCTTCGGCTAAACCGCACACTTTCGCATTTTGTCACATCGCGGCCGCTCGCACTCGCATTGCATTGCATCTTATTGGCACTTCACCTACGCTATATCGCATCGCATTTTTGGTGGCTCGCTTGCACTCGCATCACGTTGGCTTCAGCTTTCGCATTTCCTTTTAGTCTCAGTCACCCTTATTAGTTTCTACGTTTCCCCTCACACTTTTACTTAGAGGAATCATTCTCAGGAGCAATCCCCTTGGGCCGAATCTATACTCGCATCCAGAGGTCTATTTGAGTTTTTACCCCACTTCCCCCTTTCTCCCCATTTCACCCCTTCTCATCTAGCTATCATTCCTCGCACATATTGTGCCACCAATGTGGCTTTCCTTTCTTGTTCTCTTCTGACTGCACTTCCCGCACAGTTGTATTCTTACTGTTGGATTGTTCCAATGTTTCTCAGTCTCATTCCACATTCAACCATCCACCACTAATCCGGCTATGTTGCCAATGCACCTATACCATTCTCACTTCCCCTTTACCCTTACCTAAAGTGCAGTAACCTTGCCCTTAACCCTCTCCACTTAGTATAAGTAGTCGGTCACTCTGTATTAGATTCTCTAACTTGAATCTACTCAATCTTCCCTGGAACATACTTCTCTCTGAAGCCTCTCAGCTTCAGTCTCTAGTATCTTTTCTTAAGTGCTCTTCGCGCTTAAGTCTACCTCGATCAACACTCATCGTTCGGACAAGACTGTCCTTACTTTGAGCCTGGTGACTTCACAGACATCTGTCTTAGAAGTCACATGACATACATGTCTGTGATTGCTGCTGACTCAATGTCACCAGTCTCACTCGTTACACTGGATCCTTCCGGTTACATTATGAACTATTAGTGGACGACGCCCCTCTTAGGGCTCCGCATAACAGACCTATTTGAGTGCATAACACTCACCAAGTTACATATATTTAACCTCTGTTTCTAGTTTTTGTAACTTAGCTTCCTACAGTGCACTACCACTGTATCGTTCCAAGCACTCCCATAGCACGATGTGACTCATATTGTATTCAGCGCACACTCACTAGCATATGCACTTTTGCTGCACATCAGTGTGTGCACCTTTGGCTCAATCACTTATCCATTGTCTGTCTATTCCATGTATTTTTTGGTTTGTCAGCGCATATTTCTATTCTATTTCTGTGTATTCTGACAACATCTCTGGTGCTATGTGTCTCCTGGACTATGCATGTTCAAAACCTGCTGAATGATACATGTTTTGTCTATTAGAACAAACCTTGACATTGACTCATATGCACTTTTCTGAGAGTTTCATCACATTAGTCAGAGACAAGTAGTTGTTGCAACAGAGTCAAAATCTGTTTCTTTCAAACAATTTTATCCTACTCCATGAGTGGAATCCATAGATAAGAACTGTAGCAATGAAAATGAGACAGATAAGTAATGTGTAATAAGTGCATGCCGCATGCTACATAGAATACTATACTTCCCTTCCCTCAGATGCTACCTTTGTGTTGTGGAGTCACCTTAGATGTTGGACCAGGGCTTCCAAGGCATAGACAGAGAGAAGTCACATGAATGAGAAGCAGTCAGTCCCTCAGCGATCTCTATAGCTTAGTCAGTGACATGAGCATGCAGCTAGCTCTGTTCATAGTGTAGCACATCATCATCCACATACCATCACTTAAAGTTCAACAATTGCATCATTGCACAACAACAGAGCAGTAAGAACATGTCTTGAATATTTACTCACAGACAGTATTGCAGACATTGATCTTCATTGATCTTGGTCAAGTTGTTATCAGATTCAAAATCTGTTTCTCTTGAATTGTGCAGGTTTGAAACCTGCCAATAACAACATTTTTGTTCTATGAAATCACACCTTGACATTTCCTTATCAAGATCAATGTCTGAGATGCTGTCTGTGAGCAGATATTTAAGACATGTTCTAATAGCAAAAATGCACCATTCAACAGATTTCAAACTCCATGAGGAAATGTCAAGGCATATTTTCATAGAAAATAAAATTTATCATCGACAGGTTTCAAACCTGTCATGATTCAGGAGAAACAGATTTTGAGTCTGGCTATCACTTGTGATTTCATCTTTAGCAGGTTTTGAACCTACATAAACAGATTTAGACTCTGTTCTATTAACTGCTTGGCTAATACTAGTTGAATGCACTTCTAATTAACTCGTTCAAAAGTAAATCCTCATGGCACATTTATTTGCATTTTGTCAGTTCTTTCAATACACATCATTATGAACCTGCTTAGTTTAAGAGAAATATATTTTGACTCTGGCAACCACTTGAATAAGCACAATAAAAATATCAGCCTTGACAAATTTGTATTTTTTTTCTCCCTCCCTGGGTCATTAGGATCAAACTTGAAGGTTTGATGTGTAATCTGCTCTTCTTTTTCTTCAACCAAGTCAAGACCTTTAGAAAGAATTGGATTGTTCTTTTACTTATCCCTCCAAGTTTGCATCAAGACTTTGGTCATGAATCAAAATAGTGTTGTTGGGTTTTTTATTTGTTTTGTGCGTGGGAAGGTCTGAATTTGCCATACTGGTACAGAAAGGCAGGGGGTCTGAGTGATAAATCATGCAAAGTCAGCTAATGCTCAAAGGGATTTGCGATCAACAAAGACAGACCTTCTGAGCATGTAGAGTTTAAAAAGTATATAGACCAAATGGTCTGGAAGGGGACACTAATTCAGACCACAAAGAGTGAAACTTACAATAAAAGTGGATCCTGAAGGAATCAAACCACACACTTAAAGCTGAAACAACATATGAGTAACAGTGTGAGATTTGAGACCATCACTTTGGGCCCAGACATTAAATTCTACCTCATCCAACTGGGTTTGACCCTTGCATTTGGATATAACCACCTTGAGTCCAGCTGTGATATTTCATCTCATTACACTAGGTGCAGACATTAATGTTTAACATCTCCCTTGGATTCAACTGTGTGATTCTTTTATTATCAGTTTTCACTCATGGGCCCACTGTGATGGTCTGCCATCAGCACTTTTTCAAGGAAATTGTTAGGTAAACAAGTCTTGAAGTTAAGAGCCCCAGCAGAAGTCCATGTCTTTTGCAATAAGAGCAGTATAGAAGAATCAACAGTGATCATGCTATTGAAAGAGCTGACAAAAATGCAGATAAATGTGTCTTGAGGACTTGCTTCTGAATGGGTTCATTGGAATTGAATTCAACTGCTCTTAGCCAAGCAGTTAATATGACAGAATCCAAATCTGTCTGTGTGGGTTCAAAACCTGCTAAAGATGTCATTGTCAAGTGATCACTAGAGTCAAAATCTGTTTCTCTTAGAATGTGTGGGTTTGAAACCTGCCAATGATAAAATCCATTTTGTATGAAAACACACCTTGATACATGTTGATGGTCGGTTTGCTTGTAAGCTGAGCAAAATTGTGTTTGGCCAAGTGGTGGTCATAACAGAATCAAAATCTGTTTATATCAGAATGCAACAGGTTTGAAATCCGTTGAATGCCACAAGATGAGTTTTTGAGAAAAGTGGGAAACAAGTGATGTACGCACCAATGAACCAGCAGAGGATATGGATAGGATGGATGGAGGACGTGCGACAGATCCAAAGAGAAGCTGACACTAGCCGAAGTGTGCACAAGAGCCACGGCCATCGGCCGACGATGGAAGACATGCGCGCTATACCAAGGGTAGTGTGTACTGCATTAGAACCAGAGGGACAACACAGAAAAGGCCTATACAAGGCCACAAAAACCATAGGTCTTACAATGAGTCAGACCAAGTCAGAGGTGCGGGACCACATTGGTGGTCGAGTCATAAGAGGAACGTGCGTGCACATGCATAGAGGCGGGCGATGTGAGGATCCAGTCAACAGATAGTCAGTAAAAGAGGACGAGCCAGTAGATGGTGAGGGCGAGGATGAAGGGAAAATGATAGGGGAGCCACTGTGACCAATGTTACTTGTAACAGTGAGCAATGACATGGATGGAGACCACTGTATCATGAGTGCATAAATTCACTGGATGCTGAGCTTTCATATTTTGTACTTACATCAGGAAATGTCAGGGTGTAATTGCATAGAATAAAAATATTACCATTGGCAGGTTTGAAACCTGCAAAGTCCAAGAGACACAGATTTTAACTCTGGTGACAACTCAACTAAAGACCAATGAAGATCAATGTCTGAGATACTGTCTATGAGCATATATTCAAGACATGTTCTTATGGAAACAATGCAACATTCAACAGGTTTCAAACCTGTTGTATTTCAATAGAAACAGATTTTGATTCTGTCAGGACAACCCCTTGGCTAAACACAACTCTGATGAGCATGTCTCAAGGTGCAGTTTCATAAAACATGAATTTTATCATTGGCAGGTTTCAAACCTGCACAGTCCAAGAGAAACAGATTTTGACTCTGATAATCACTGGCAATTTCATCTTTAGCAGGTTTTGAACCCACACACACAGATTTGAAACAGATTTGGATTCTGTTGTAGCAACTGTTTGACCAACAGCAGTTAGATCCATCTTTAAAGAAAGCATTCAGAAGTGAATCTGCGAGGCAAGTCTACTGTTCCCTGTCACTTGCAATGTTTTCCCTCAGCTGAACAGATGAATTGAATACAGACTGCAATACAGCACTTTCAAAAAGTGAGAGGAGAGCAACATGATGATGAAAGGTCTCAAATACAGTGCACTTCAATCTTATACATAAGTGAATGATGGCCAGATGGCTCTTTTGAATCTCGGCCTTGACAGATGTGTATTCTTTCTCATTCCCCAGATCATTAGGATCAAACTTGAAAGTTTGATGTGTGATCTGCTCTTCTTCTTCAACCAAGTCAAGACCTTTGGAGAGAATTAAATTGCTCTTGCACTTATCATTCTGAGTTTGCATCAAGACTTTGGTCATATATTGAACTTTGCGTCAAAGATACTCGCATTTGCCTCTGGTAATTTGTCAAGAAAAAAAGCAAAATAAAAGAATCAACAGTGACCATGCTATTGAAAGAATAAATGTGCCTTAAGAATTTACTTCTGAATGAGTTCATTGGAAGTGAATTTCACTGGTCTTAGCTAAGCAGTTGATACATCAAATTGCCAAATGATTACCAGAGTCAAAATCTGTTTGTCTTGGACTGTGCGGGTTTAAAAACATGTCAATGAATCTACCAATGATAACATTTTTATTCTATAAAATCACACCTTGACATCGACTCATGCATACTTTCCTGAGAGCTCCATCTCACTGGTCTTAGCCAAGTAGACATTACAACAGAGTCAAAATCTGTTAGGAGGATAATGATGCATGAACTGAGCCTGAAAGTGAGTTGTAAATATGGATCCTATGAGCCTACAAAGATATGAGTCTCTATAACATTTTTTTTTCGCCAGCTGATAGCTGAGGCACGAGGCTAACCAAGAGTTTAGTCTATGAGCAAATTAGGTGAGGTGATGCATGCTTCTTGCTTCTGGATATTCCTCTCAAAAATTCTCATTTGTGCTCAGGATGTGGAGCCACACCACATGGAGCCCAAAGATGTTCTTGGACACAGAAAAGTGCATCCACAAACACCACATAAAGCAGATGTTTGGGAGCGTGAGCTGCAATGTGAAAGTAGACATGAGTCAATGTCAAGATGTGTTCTCTCAGGAAAAAACATATGTCATTCATGAGGAAATGTCAAGGTCTGATTTAATAAATCATTTTATGTTATCATTGGCAGGTTTCAAACCTGCACAGTCCAAGAGAAACAGATTTTGACTCTGGTGATTACTTGACAATTTCATCTTTTGCAGGTTTTGAACCCACACAGACAGACTTAGATTCTGACATATTAACTGCTCAGCTAAGATCAGTTGAATATACTCGCAATGAATTCATTCAGAAGTGAATCCTCAAGGTACATTTATCAGCATTTTGTCAGTTCTAACATTAATTTCTAACATCCCCCTTGAGTCCAACCATATGTGATCCTTCCATTGTCAGTTGTCACTCATGATCCAGTTGTTAATCCAAAAGACATTACAAACATCATTGGTCCACCATGGTGGTCTGCCATCAGCACATTTTTGAAGCAATTGCTGGATAAATAGGTCTTGAAGTAGAGGCCCAGAAGAAGTCTGATGTCTTTTGTGATAAGAGTAGAATTAAAAAAATCAATTTCAGCGACCATATTATTAAAAGAACTGACAAAATGTAGATAAATATGCTGTCATATCCTGCGTTATGGACCTGGATGACAGTTCACGCACTCATCTCCGGATGTCCAGATCCGACCCGCTTCTTACTTCTGCTTCTTTCCCCTTTCATACATCCCTTTTCGGTTAGCCCCTTTTACTGGTCCTCCGGTTATTTACATATCCGACTGTACTCATTTATCCGGACCTTGTTTCATTTCCGACTTCATTTTATTATGTTCCATGATACTATTGATAAGCTTTCCACATGCTTCGTACATAGCCTCGCACTGTGCTAACTGATCCTCTGTTTTCCGGTAGTATATAAACCCTGTAAATTCTCTGTACATCCTCAGTTCAAATATCATATTAGATTCTGCTCATTCCTGCCTCCGTCCGACTTGAGTTTCTCCTCTTGTCATCCTCCAATAGTCTTAGGATTGATTCCTATTGACTTAACATCTCTGCCTCTACCTTTGGTAGTCTTCCGCTGTTTCTTTCTAGTCCGGACGACATCCAGATTAGTCTTCTCTTTTGTTTCCGAATGTCTGCCAGAATTCCTGTGCATCAGACTTTGTCCTATAGCCTTCAGAAGTTAAGGGCACGTACTCAGGCAAGGGGTGCAGCATATGAGCTGAAGCCAAGCCCTTCAAATCCGAACCCTTGAGCACGTTCTTAACATATGCCTTGAGAATTCACTTGTGAATGGGTCCATTGGGGGTGCATCTAACTGGTCTTAGCCAAGCAGGTGACATGATAGAATATAAATCTGTCTGTGTGGGTTCAAAACCTACAAAAGATGAAATTATCAAGCGATCACCAGAGTCAAAATCTGTTTCTCTTGGAATGTGCGAGTATGAAACCTGCCAATGATAAAATTCATTTTGTCTGAAAACACACCTTGATACATGCTGATGGTCGGTTTGCTTGCAAGCTGATCAAAGTTGTGTTTGGCCAAGTGGTTGTCATAACAGAATCAAAATCTGTTTCTATTGGAATGCAACAGGTTTGAAACCTGCTGAACGTCACATTTTTTTCTATGAGAACATGCCTTGAATGTTTGCTCAAAGACAGTATCTCAGACATTGATCTTCATTGGTCTTAGTCAAGTTGTCACCAGAGTTAAAATCTGTGTCTCTTGGACTTTGCAGATTTGAAACCTGCCGATGATTATATTTTTATTCTATGCAATTACACTCTGATATTTTCTCATGGATAGTTTTCTCTTTTCTATATCATTGCCATGATAGATTCAAAATATGTTTCAATCAAAGCCTACAGGTTTGCAACCAGTCAAATGATGCATTTCTTTTTTATGTTGCAACATGCTCATGGAGGTTTCAAACCTGCTTAGTCCAGGATAATCATATTTTGAATCTATTGTGGCAATAACATGGCTAAGACCATTTAAGATAAGTTTTTGACAAAACTATTCACAAGGAAATGATTCATTATCCTCACTTAGACTGCTATCTTCCTGCACCAGTATGGCAAAGTCAGACATTCTCATGCACAAAACAAATAAAAACCCAACAACACCATTTTGATTCACAACCAAAGTCTTGATGCAAACTTGGAGGGATAAGTAAAAGAACAATCCAATTCTTTCTAAAGGTCTTGACTTGGTTGAAGAAAAAGAAGAGCAGATTACACATCAAACCTTCAAGTTTGATCCTAATGACCCAGGGAGGGAGAAAAAAAATACAAATTTGTCAAGGCTGATATTTTTATTGTGCTTATTCAAGTGGTTGCCAGAGTCAAAATATATTTCTCTTAAACTAAGCAGGTTCATAATGATGTGTATTGAAAGAACTGACAAAATGCAAATAAATGTGCCATGAGGATTTACTTTTGAAGTAGTTAATTAGAAGTGCATTCAACTAGTATTAGCCAAGCAGTTATTAAAACAGAATCTAAATCTGTCTGCATGGGTTCAAAACCTGCTGAAGATGAATCTGCAAGTGATCACTAGACTCAAAATCTGTTTCTCTTGAACCATGACAGGTTTGAAACCTGTCAATGGTAAATTTTATTTTCTATGAAAATATGCCTTGACATTTCCTTACAGAGTTTGAGATACATTGAATGGTAAATTTCATTTTCTATGAAAATATGCCTTGACATTTCCTTGCAGAGTTTGAGATACATTGAATGGTGCATTTTTGCTATTAGAACATGTCTTAAATATCTGCTCACAGACAGCATC